AAATAAATAAACACGACTTATTTTTTGTTTATTGCCTCTTTTGTCCCTGGGACTTCTATTTTTTGTCTATTCTTCACAAAGGAGTAATAGAAAATGTGAGTCAAATAGACTGCTTTGCATCCGCAACCCTCCGAAGCCTTTGTTTTGTTGTCATTATTCTACGAAGACCCTCGAGAGTTTGAATCGAAGCATTGCCCAGGAGTATTTTCTTGTTAGGCCATAAAAGTCCATTCCTATCACCGAACGGCCATGTCAAACCAGGAGGAGAAGACATAATCCTCTTCCATCACTCACTCCTGTTCTAATTTCCCAATGGACTAAATGGGTGGACGATTTACGAATCGCCGACCTTTCTTTGGCGACTTCAAAAACCCTTCACATTCGGCTTTCCATCACGTTTTCTCTAATGCCTTGATGAGAAATGGACGCGAGGTCGTTATGCACATGGCGGACAACCCTCTTCGGGTCACCCTTTTGGTGAATGTGGATTTCTTTGGTATTTGTGCGCTTTTTTCAATAAAGACAGAATGTTTGCTAGAACAGAAGTGAACTCTTTGGCATTGATCACCGACATTCTGGGGAAGCACCCCACCACTCGATTCCGAGTAGCGTTTGAACGTATACGATCTATGCAAGAACATGCTCGGCTTAACGAGATGCAAGTCAGTTATCCGATACAGAGCCAACTTATCAACCTTGAGCGAGTAAAAGCTCGATTGACATGAGCTGAAGAGGTTGGGAAGTCCCATTTAGGACGAATCAATCCAGAATTCACTGCCATATAGCGCATTTGCAAGAGATTTTTTGCTCAAACTGCATAATATCTAAGAGCTTCCTTCTGCATCCGAAGCGACCCGAAGGGAATCGGGAACAGCAGGTTTCCGACCATTATTAATAATGGCGCTATTAGATTGATTAAAAGCAAGTGAAAAATGTCGTTTACAGAGGTGACCAGCAACTTTCCACGATTTTTCATTCATCTTCGACAGAAAATCGTGCAAAAGGCGGAGCAGAAAGATCCGCGGCGGGCCGATGTCACCAACTACACAAGGGGCCACCAGCAACCCCTCCCTCATATCCGATCTGTGGTAGCCAATAATATCAGAGCTCAAAACAACTTGGGAAAATAAAGAGACTTCTATAAACATACTATTCTGTGTTTAGTGGAGACCAGGTTAACCCCAGAACATATGCAGACAAATAAGGTAAGAAATTTTTGGACGAGTTACACACCCCTCCAAAGCTGCTTTTGCTGAGCTGCCTCATTTCAATCTGGCTGATTGCGCCTGAGCAAAGATATGCCCGAAGCCTAGTGAGCAGGAAGGGTTTCAGGCGCAAGGCCAATAAGGGCACTGGATGACGAGGGACGACGATAACTCGAGCACTACTCACTTCATGAAATTAGGCGTACAGCAGTAGCAGTGACTATTCTGGTGCTCATCGGAACAGGAACGGAAGAGGCATAGGCGATTGAATCGCGCAGGCGGCTGGAGCACGATGAAGAACTCAGCTAAAGGGCATCGCTCCTTTTACAACTGCGCTCTTCCCAGCTCCCTCAGATGGCCTAACTTCGAGGCATAGGGTAGATATGTCCTGAAGTTGTACAAACCCAGACCAATCAAACCACCCATCCTTCCAAGGCGACTAACTGATCTCATGCCTTGGTGGAAGGGTTTTAAGCACTGACTTGTGCTCGATGGACCACCGGAAGTCACTGCAGGCCACATAATACTTTTCTAGTCTGAATGGGAGTCCAATGCGGGAGTGCATCCCCGAACGGAATCGATTGACGACAAGGGACATCGTCCTTCACCCCTTTATTAATATGTTCAGCAAATCAGCAAAGACTTCCTGCACGGAGTTACTAAGGACATTGTGGAGCAACCGAGCACATGCCTCAAATTGGCGGAATCCAAATCCACCGATCTTTCCCCTTCGTACCCGTTCATCTGTAATGATGCTCCGTCTGGACTTCCTGGTCCGCCTTACTCGCGCTCAAGTACCTCTTCCTCCTGATCGGCACGGCTTCTTCTTGGGTGGATGGTTCCGACACGTAATTCGATTTCTTCGTTATCGACGCAACAAGCGACAACGATGCAAACAGACAAACTACGGCGCCTCGTAAAATCACCTACTCATGGGCGCCTCCTCAGAATTGTAATGGGTTCTACACCCTGGGAAGGGACCCCATTTTAGTAAGGAAGAGAGAAACAAGGGTTTTGATTCCCATGGCCATAACGAAAAATCCAGACAACTCGACCATCCTGCTCTATCCGACCGTACTACTACTTTCTTGTTGGTCCATAAGCTTTGATTCCTTCCCAAGTCATGTAGAAAGGTCTATAGTACCCCATCATCCACTTATTGCCAGAAAACAACGAATTTCCTCTATGTCTCAGAGCTCAAGCAGTTTTGCATGGTTGGATACACCTATCAAGGCGATACAGAACTTCAATGATGATACCGATGCAGGTTTTGGAATCTTGTGAAACTTTTGTTTAAAGGCACCGTTCGCAATAAATTTAGGGTACCCTTTTTTGACAGGAATTGATAGAACTTCTCTAGAATAAAGCGATAACAACGAAAAAAGCGCAAAAAACGATGAACAAAAAGAATTACAAAGGGTCAAAAAAGAGCTGGA